GGTGTGGGTGTGGGGGTGGGTGTGGGGGTGGGTGTGGGTGTGGGTGTGGGTGTGGGTGTGGGTGTGGGTGTGGGTGTGGGTGTGGGTGTGGGTGTGGGTGTGGGTGTGGGTGTGGGTATGAGTATGAGTGTGGGTTTGGGTTTTTGGATGTGATCACGTCACAGATACACCCACACCCTTTTTTGCCTTTATTTTCACTTCAACCATAGTCTCACTCACTGCATGTAATACAATTCCATTTTCATATTCAATATCCTAAACTTGATTTAGGAGTAAAACATTTTCATTTTCTAGATACAGCTTTGTAATAAATATGATGAAAAGCGACTCCACGCGCCCTCTATTTAACTTCGAATATTTTTTCTTTTACTCGAATTTTTCATTGGTGCCGTAACGTGACTATTAATTATCGGAAGTAAGTTGTGCAAGAACATGGCTACTTACGAGTAATGGTATATTGTCAGACCCCATTGACTCACTCCTTTATTGGCAGATTCTGACTTCACTTATGCACTTCGTACATGGTGTTTTCCCAACAGCTTTTATTGTATAGTTCAGGTACCAAAAACTCTAAATTTAATGTAGAATTGAGTGGTATAGTTCATTTTACTCGGAAACACCTGTAAACTTGACATTTAGGTCGAAAACATTTAATTTGTGTCTCCCTCTTTAGTTATCCAATTGCCATTTAGATAACATTGGGATGAACAAAGAAAGCGAAAAAAACAGCATCTTCTATCATTTTGATTCACACGTGTTCTTTAGAATGTGATTATGATGATCATGCGGAATATGATCATGAAATAGAAAATACGGTACTTCTTCAGATCGACGACACCCTCTCGTATTGGTTGAACGATAAACAGGAAAGGAATATTTTCCTTTCCTGTTTATTGTTCAACCAATACGAGAATGTGTCGTTGATCTGAAGAAGTACCGAAAATACAAAATATTTCAATGATTAGAATGATCGTAAAGATAATTATTATGATAACGATACACTTCAATTTATTTACGGTAATAAAGTAAAAATTGACTATATTCTTTTTTTATTTTTATTCCTTTCTTAAACTTTAATTTAGTGATATAGCGTGATGTTAGTTTCATTAGTTCAACAAAAATTTTGTGCAAAAATGATGATGAAAGTCAATCAAATCTTATAAATATATCGATTGGTATTGAACTTTTTTCCTTTTTTTTTAACAATTATTTTTCTATGCTATATTTGTATAAATTAATACGTAAACAGATATTTTTGTGACATACACATTTTTTTGTTTTACATTTATTTTGTTGTAATAATAAAATGAACTATGTGCTCTTCAAGTTAATGTAAAAAAATAGTGGTAATTTTCATTGCCACTAAAGAAATGATCTCTTTCTGAATTCATACAGCTTCTTCACATTCAAATCAGACAAAATATACTGGTCATAGGTCAAGATTTTAAAAACACGGATAAATAAAAGCTTTGAAAAAAAATGTGGTGAGTGATGCATATCCATACATCGTCAGGTCCGTTTCTCTGAGAATTAGCCTCTCGCAAGATGCATTTTTAGTAAAATGATAGATCCGAGAAATGAACTTATTACAGTAAAGTTTGATTTCATATCCATGAACATATAATATAAAAATTTGAAGAAAATATTCATTCGGAAAATATGATCAATAGATGTCACCGGTGAGAAGTGCATCTGCTATTAATTGCTCGAAATAAACGAGTTAGCACCTACTTGACAACATACCAAATGTTATTTTTATCGTTTGAGCTAATCTAATATTATTACTTATTATTTGAATTTATAAATTGTTGTTATTTGTTATCTGAACTTTTCTACTGTTATATTTGAATTTGAATTTGAATTTATGTATTAGTACTACTGTTCTGGTTATTATCTTTACTGTGTTTTTCAATAAACTATATTATTTTCAAATAGTCATTTTTTCTTAAAAATAGAATTCACAATTATAAGTAACGTACAATTTGTTTCACCTCTCCGAAATTCGTAACACCTTTTTAGATCAGATGAACAAAAAACAAATTGAATTATTCGATTTTTGGAATAAAAGTCGAAACTCATCATCAGCAACAACAACAAATGCTTCTTTATCATGTGAAAATCAAAAAGAAATTCCTTCTACCCCATCAGATACAAGCGATTCTATTCCTTTATTTATACTTGATGAACCAGTAAATGAAGTTGAAATAGTTTCAACTGAATCTCGATGTTTATCATCAAATATTCCTGAAAATCAGCAAGTGTCTTCTTTGATTGAAAATGAAGATTCTAACAAGCTACAGACAAACAAAAAACCAAGTACTCCAAATTGTCGTAATTATCTTTCTTCTTGGTAACAGCAGCCCGAAACTTTATTCAAAAGTTATGTGTTTGATCAATTTGGCAATCGACAAGAAAAATTTTCATCATGGTTATATTTCAAAGATGATGCAATGAGATGGGCTTTATGTGAAAAACACGATAAAAGAAGAAATACCAACGGCGAGTTAGATATGTTACATATTTCATAGAAATTCTTCATTTTTTTGTAGGAAGAGAAAACGTATGGTGTACCTTAGGATATCAGCATTTTTTATTAGATGAAGTAAAGCAACGCAAGTAAAGCAGTGAGGTCCATCGATAGGCTGAAGAAGCTGAATTAAAAATTTCAGCTGGAGTACAACCAACATGGATTCAAACACAAACTATACAAATTTCGAAACAAGAACAAGCCGTTCAAAACTTGATATTTACTGCAATTCATATTTGTCGTCAATATCAGTCTTTAGATAGTATGGAAGAGTTATGCATATTGCTTGAAGAACTCGGTGTTCAATTTTGTGTTTTTTTTGTCAGTGAATAGTAAGTGATATTTATTGTGTGATTGTTGTTCCATTTGTTTTAACCTATTTATAAATAGTCGATAAATGATTTGTCTATCTAACCTAGTCAGATGCTATTCTTTATATATATTTGATGTAAGCCTAATATTAATAAAAATATACGAAATATTCCTCTTTTTCAATTTTAGTGATTGACACTTCGGAGATTTTGTGATACTTTGCTTTGAAAAACAAAGTATCATTTTGTAATGTGATGGCAAAAGTTAAGTGTCATTTGGCTTTTTGTTTTAGATTTCTATTAGAAACATTGCTGACAACATACCATAACAGTTTTTCACTTTTGGTTACCATTTTGCCATTTTAACATTATTTCAAATGGATCGCTGTCTTCTTGATATTTTACCAGTTGAAATATTTCATATTATTTTCAAATACTTTTGGGCGCATGAGATTTTGGCATCATTTCATAATGTTAGTCCATATCTTGACGCTGTTTTAGACTCATATTCAAGTTATCAAGTTAACTTTGCATCCATTCTCAAACCTCATTTTGATCATGTTTGTCATACTCTGAGACCAAATCAAATTATTTCATTGATACTCTCCGATTATGCCGATACACCCCGGCAATCTCAACTCTTCTTATCTCACTTTCAAATCAAATCATTCACTGGAATTTGTTCACTTACATTAGATAGAGTTGAAACGAAGTCCCTGTTAATCATCCTTAACGACATAAATAAGATGAATCGGCAATTTCGACTTTTTTTACACGATTGTGATATTGTACCTCTGAGTTCCATGGAAATACCATTCCAGTTAAGTGGCTTGAGAATTGACGAAAGCAATTTATTGAAGCCCAGACATTCAACGTTTTTTGTGAACGCTAACACATCGGTTTTGTATACTGATACATTTCGTCATATTTGTGCAAATGCATCTGGACTGAAATCGTTGAACATTCGATGTGAGGACATAAATATTATAATGAACTTGTTTTCAAAATTACCACAACTTACTTCTCTTGCTCTTAAACTTACAAGTGAGTATTATTCAGTTATCAAAAATACAAATAGGTATTGAGGAGCTAGCTATTGTTTTCACAAATATGCTGATAGATATTTTCATAATATTAAGTGAAACTGACAAGTGAACGTAACTCAACATTTTATATGCGAGTGTTGTGGTCTAGTTATTTAGTGCCTGATCTTAGTAGTACTTATCAGATATGTGCACAGGACAGCAGGGCGATCTGGTCATTGCTCATTTCTGATACTTACCCAGGACATTCAATCCTGCCTGTGGATTCGATCGGAACTGGCCGGATCCGACGTCGAATTGCTCCGGATTCCGACGTTTTCCGTAAAAAAACCGACCGGATCACACCAGTTTTACGCCGGAATCTTTGCGACCGGATTCCGGACCGGATTACGCCGAAAAAGATACGATCGGTTCCGGTCCTCTCCGACAGTCGGATCTCCTCGGAACTGATAAGATCCTTCGAGAGGAAAACGCCGGAAAATGTCTGGTTTCGGAGAAGATATCACCAGATCTCATCGGAGTCCGGCTGCCGGATCCGCAATCAGACTACATCCGGAAAAAAGTCCGATCGGTTCCTCACAAACCCGATTATCGCATCCAATGAGAATGCTTCCACATTCGGCGCAAATCATTCGATTCACAAAAAGATCTGTAAAGATCTTTTTATTGAAAATATCGATTTCTTTCATAGAAATCACGCGCAAATTATTGCTTTGATCAAAAAAGATCTGTAAATATCTTTTTATCGAAAATATCGATTTCTTTCTTAGAAATCTCGGGAAAATTATGAGTTTGACCGAAAAAGACCTTTAACGGTCTTTTATTGGAAATACCGACTTCGTTCTTAGAAATGCTGCGTAAATCATTATGGTGACGCCACAAGATCTTTAAAGGTTTATACTTATGAAAACGCCGATGTGACGATTAGAAGAATCAGTAGGAATGTGTGAATGTAATAGAGGAGGTTTCTAATGATATTTTGCAATGTAAAGTTGTGCTGAAAAGCTTTTAAGGGCCTCAGAAGAATTTTTTCTTGTGAAGGATTTTTGAGAACTTTAAATTTGCATCTATGGCTTACCTGTTTCTCACCTGTACAGGTGTAGTGGCTAGGGAGCTGATAATTTTACATGGAGCTTATGAAGGATGAGATTTGCGGGACTGTTTGTTTGAAGTGGACAGCTTTTAATGATGTTCTACTTCCATGTTACTGATACCAGTGTTGTTACTCGAATGAACTATTATGCGCGAAGCACGCATATATATAGGGTGGGTCGGGTCTCAGAAAGACTGAGAAAGAATCTTTGTGAGATCTTTTTGGAGTCTTTCCGAGCTCTTTTTGAGATCTTTTTGAGATCTTTTTGAGATCTTTCTGAGGTCTTTTTGAGATCTTTCTGAGATCTTTTTGGAATCTTTCTGAGATCTTTCTGAGATCTTTCTGAAGTCTTTCTGAGGTCTTTTTGGAATCTTTCTGAGATCTTTGTGAGATCTATGTGAGACCTTTTTGGAGTCTTTCCGAGCTCTTTTTGAGATCTTTTTGAGATCTTTCTGAGATATTTTGAGATATTTTTGAGATCTGTCTGAGATCTTTTTGGGATCTTTTTAAGGTGTTTCTCTGATCTTCATTTTCCAAGCGTATTGAAGTCTCAAAGTACGTGTAAAATAATGTACCATTCAAAAAGATATCTTCTGTTATTAAGATAACTATTACACCTCCAAAAATAAATTAACAACCAGGTACTAGTAGACAAACTTATTCCAACATTTTCGATCATTGGAAGAGCTACGATAGACTCCTAAATAGCTAACTAAGGGTAACTTGCAGAAAAATATTCTAAGATGTTTTACCCATAAAATACCTAATACAATATTGAAAATACATTTAAAAGAAGATTCACTGTAAAAGAAATCATTAAAGGTGACATCTGAACCACCCCGAAATTTGAAGGAGGAAGCAGCGTGCCTGCCATGGTTCAAGGAGAAATCAGTAAGAATCGGAGGAACGACTGGCTACATAATTCGAAGTGACGTAACAGTAACGTATATAAATGCGAAGGTTGAAATTGTGGTGGATTTGGCTATCATGGTGTGCATGGGCTATTTCCAGTGGCTTTGTTCAGGCGTGTCATTGATAATAGAGTTTACATTTATTTTTCATAAAATTTGTTCCACTCTTTCCTCTTTCCAACTGATGCTGTTTCGCTGGCTGCAAACCACAACACCGGTTATTGTTCTCAAGGACAGCGTCATACTCCTCTATTTCGAAAACTCATCAGTCCTTTCCGAGAAAGTTGCTTTCGTGAAAGCAGATTAATAAACGCTTGCAATTGTTCCTCTCTCCGTACCTTTCCA